CAAAAAAAATTACTTATTTCATAAAAAGAATAAACGAAGAAAATTAAATACAAATTCTAACTATATACCTAATCAATGTTATTTAACATTCAACTATTACATAATGTGTTGAAATACTAGAAAACCGTAGGTATTAGTTTAAATCAAAATTGTATTTAACTACCTACTAATTATAAACCAACTCAATACTCATAAATCATAATTTATTTAATTCTCAATAAGTAATAATCCTTGACAATACTTTAAAGGCTACACTTATACTGGGATTATTATTTACTAGATATTTCATGCTAACATAATTAAGCATTCTATAATTTGAAAGATAATTTATTTCYAACATAAGTACAATAGTTTAAAACTATAAAGAAAGAACATAGCCATACATAAATTTGTTTGAAAAAATTTTTTTTTAAACTGTCTCATTATTAATCAAATGAAATAATTGTTGACCCAAAAGTAATTTAAAAGCAGAAAAATGAATAATACTCTATGAACAGTGATGCATTTATAAGAAATAATGGTTGCACAWTGTACAATACTATTGTTAAATAACAATGAACCTCTATATCTATTTTATAATTCAATCAGTCAATTCACAATTGTGATATATGAGAAATAATACATGTTACTAAGACAGTTTTGTTATATCGGTGGTATATCTATAAACAGAAATAACTCTTTAATCATCTAGTAGTAGTGACACAGTCAAAACCATTGTGGCCTAATATCTGAACCTTGAACACAATAAACACTAAGCAGTGTTTAAAAACAGTCGACAAGAGAGAAAACTATCAAGGGCGGATACCATAGTTAATGTAGAAAACAATYGGTCGAGATAAATCAATAACAAATAACCTAGGCTAGATAACAGTGACAACTARGTATGCGATGTTTTCAAGTCACAATACAATTATACAAAGAGACGTCGGGAACACAACTTGTTTACACAGCAACCAAAGTCCAGGGGAGGTGAGCAGAGGGTGGTGGACGGTACGTGAAGTACGGTCTACGGTCGTCACAATCGAAACACGCCACGAAATAGGTGGTTTCAATGCGTGGGTGGTGTGGATGCATTCTTAAAAGACCYTGAACGTCATCTCATTATTATTTTATTTTGAATTCGCGCATGCGACAGGATCGACGATTGTTGATTAATAATGGTGAACCAAAAAGAAAACCGAACGAAACCAACGGCGAATTGTATATGTCGCCATTGACCTTGAACGGACGATTGTCAATATAATAACTACCGCTGCTGTTGTTTTCACCATCGAATAACGATATTGAGCCACAATGGCGGATACTCACCAGGATTTGTTGACAGACCACTGTTGAGCTTGACGTGTTCCTTCGACGCCTTGACGGCGGCGGGCACACTAACRGCGGAGACGCATGCGACGGCCAGGAGGACGACCACAGTTGTTTTCAACAAGACCATTTTGTCAAAATGTGTACGATGGCGGTGATGAATGTGGGGGTSTGGTATTGTGTACKAACAACAATACAAATAATGAAAGAACCGTCAGAGAAACTGAACGCAGACGAAAGTTGTGACTATTTTACAACAGCGCACAAGACAGAAGTCAGAAAGCAATAGACTGCGGTCTGCGATCAATTGCCACACGTAACGTTCACGGAACTGCAGTGCTGTTACAGCTACAACAAATACAATTAGCGTATAAATGTAGAATATTACTATTAAAGACGATCGTCGTGTGTGTGACGTATGTATTGTGCTAGTACATAAAGATAGATACAATAACATATTATATGAGTGTGTGTGTGTGTGTGTGTTGTATACTTACGTATGATTCGTGGGATTGTGTTGATGTGTTCGTGTGTGTGTAAAATCAGAATAAAGACCTCTGCACAGTGTTTATGTTGTTGTACACTGACGTAGTGGAAACAGCTTCGTTATTGCGATTTGCGACTGAACAAACGTCGGAATCAGCTGTGAGTACACTGCGCGTCTGCGCGAACTGCGCCAAGCGACCGATATTATTACTAATTTTTAGATGACAATGACGGTCGTGGAAAAGTCGATCATCGGCGGCGGCAACGACGATACCGTGGAAGAAAAGAAAAATGCACAGTTAGGMTATTATTGTTCTGTGGTTAGGCCATGGTTAGGTATGGCCGGAAAGCAAAGCGATAATAATATTGTCAGATAATAAAGTTCATTATTATATTATTTTATTATTACGATTATCAGCCCGACGATTCCAAAGTTATTAATATTATACTTATCTATGATTCCGAATATGCGGCAATGCTTGATTACGCATTTACGCTCGTGGTCTGGAAACCGAGAAGTGGACGGAAACGGGAAAACATTAACAACCGTTACTGGGGGATTTGGAATCGTGATATATCCTAAATGAGCGTTTCGGGCAAGTGGTTTTGGTTGAGCCTCAAGGGAAGCAATATCATAACCGATGATTTCCATCAAGAAAATTATCTTTGGGGTCTGGGGATCATGAATTTCGCAAACACCCTTTTTGTACATTGATAACGCTACACTGATAACGGTGACTGTCCGTACATCTGGGTCCTGCGGTGGTCAGCGTCCCGACCATCCGTAATCCGCTCCGCTGTTTCACGACTGAAGACGCTCACCCCGCAGCGCGTTAAAATATCGATTTTACCGTCGCAAGACACCTAGTGTACCGTTGTTGTTGTTTTGATCATTTGGTTGTTCGTCTGCGTGTAATAAACAGCGTAATGTCCGTTAACATGACCGAAGAAGTCCAGAGCGATGAGGTGTTCAAGAAACTAGACGCGTTGAAAGATATAAGGTGAGACAAGAAGTCGTACATAACCGAGGAGTTAGGCCCAGTCCATTCCCGCCATAGTGGTTGGGCCGAATGGGCCGTATATCATTTGTACCATCGATATCTCGTCTGTTCAATGCGATTTACTCGTTATTCACTCATTATTTTCATGYCCACATCCTCAATGACACCCTTATCTGTGTTTTCTAATGTCCCTCCTCCACCAACCATTMGTTTTATGTATATGGTATTGTGATGAATTTTTCACAGTCTTATATGAATTAATGGTGTACTGGATAATCATTTTACAGATGATTAAGACCATTTTGCTCAAACTAACTATTGTCAGTACCTATTACCTACCGATAACATTTTGAGAATTAATCGAGTACCTACCTATGAATATGTTACATACTTATCGATATATATTTCCTAAACATACATTTTCTCTAAAGTTTAGTTGTAGACATGATTTAAGATGTCTTGAATCTGTCTTGAATCTTGGTTAGATAAATCTTTATATTTTATTAAGCATACAGCTAACTAATTTAATTTAATTTAGATTGTTTTGTTTGTTGAAATCTATTGTTTTCTTAAACAACATAAAATATTATGTATTGTATATATATATTTTTAGAGACAAAACTGAAAAATTGGAAACTCTGAAAATGAACATTTTAAAGGAAATTGAAGCAAGTGATCAAGAAGATAAATGTCTTATTGAGTATCGCAAAGAACTAGAACTTTTACTGCAAGAAAAAATGGCACATGTAGAAGAACTTAGACAGATACATGCTGATATTAATGCGGTTCGTTTAAATATTTTCAATTTTAGAATTATAGATATATGATTTTAGATTTTATTATTTATATTATGTAGATGGAAAGTGTAATAAAAAAAGCTGAAGAATCTAGAAATCGATCTATGGAACGTGCTAAACAAGTCCATGATGAATATAAACCTCTTAAGACAGATATTGACCTTATGCGTAGGGATTTACTTGGACTTGAACGGTTACCAGAACTTCACGAAGAAGAAAGTGATCTTGTGAGACCAGAGTAAGCACACAATTTTTAATTAAATAATAAATTATTGAATGGCTTTGTTATTATACAATTGGTATTAGTTATAGAATTATCTTGTTGTATTACGTATKAAATCTCATTTAAAGAAATAGTACACTCGCATGTGTTGTCTCCGTTTTACTAATGTAAAACATTTCAAAAATTGTTTTGCGTGGGAAACACTCTATCTATGATCCAAGCTAAGCAACCATATTTTCATACTATAAAGAGGAGAATATTTACAGTGCAAMATTGTTTTTATTTGTTCGATATCAAAACTAAAAAAAAAAAAACAGTTATTCAAGTTTTAAAAACTCAAAGATAATAAATTCTTAAATCATAAAAACATTTATATGTATACGTATATGTGATATCGAAAAATTAAAAACAATATTGCACAGTAAAWTATATTCTCCTCTTTATGGTGTAAAGATTTGGTTGCTTAGCTTGGATCACAGTTTGAGTGGTTCTCTCCCGGCACAAAACAGTTTTTCACTATGTTTTTACATTTGTAAGACGTAAACAGCAAATGTGGGTCTAGCGTCCTCTTAATGAAATTTATAAAGTAATAATGTTAATTTAAGAATGATTTGATTAAAATTGTAAATATGTGTTTTCAAAATAAATTGTAATTATAAATATATTTAATACATATAATAGAAACTATAATAATACTATTTAAATTATTAACAGTGAATTAGCTTTGTTTAGTTTGTATTTTTATACTTAGAATCTAATTCTTATTTCATAAATGGATTCTGTAGTTTTATATTGTTCTTGACAGATTAATTATAATTAGTATTGAAAAAAATCCTCTTCATTTTTTTTTTTTTTTTTTTGGTAACTAATTGAACTATTTTATTTCAGTCTATTTGTCCAAACCTATTTTGACAAACAAATTAAACCTGCCGTGTCAACTCCCCCAAATTCAGATTGGCACAATGGAGATAGTGTACAGAACTTAACTCAAGCACATCAGCATGCTCAAGCTGCTGTGGCAGCTTTTCTTGGATCTCAAGCCGCTCCACTACAACAACTTGCAACTAGCAGCAAAATGGTTAATGGTGGACCTGTAGATACTAGACCAATACCTCCAATTCCTGGACCACCTGCTTTCAGGTATTTATTGTTAAATAATATATATGTATTTATRTATTATTATATAAAACATAGKTATCTATTGTTTTTGTGGAACATGCAATTCTTRAATAGTARCTATATTATTTTTATTTATCATTTTTCATTATACATAGTTTAAACTCTTAAAGGTATGATATTAATAAAATATGTAATGTAATAGTTATTATCAGTGGCGTAATGAGAAATTTGGTGGCCCTATAAGGAGTGAAAGTCCTTAAACATAGAAATGATTAAATAGTGATGTTAGACTCTAATTTAAGAAAAAAGTTGCCATAATTTATAATTTAATTGATGTTACCTTAATTTATAAWYTTAACTTATAAAACAATAACATTATATACTTCATAATAATATTTTTGAGTTTTCGTTTTAGCAAACTTGTCTAAAGACCAAGGTTTCCTCKAAATTAATTTCCAATGGAAATAATTGATAAGCAAAAGGCTGCTATCATACCTGGTAAATAATTTTTTATTATTTTCAGTTTTGAAAATGATCGTTCTGCTGCTGCAACCGTGATGGGTAATGTCAAGTATAAAATAAAAGCAGTGCTTATATCAGGGTATGTTGTTGTAAAAGGAGAATATTCAATTTAAAATATTTCTACAATTTCTTTCATTGTTTTGGACTTAAATGATATGATATGATCCTTAAACATGATCGAAACAATATAATTTTTGCCGGCCTTAGTCCGGAGAAATATTATTTTGGTTATATTTTTTTCGTAGTATTTTTGCTCTCTTGTATTATAGTTCTCCATGATATAGATGTATAATACGATTAGTGAAATTGATTGTTGACATTTAAAAAGTAAGAATCATTTCGAAAACTTTGAAATCTTCATTCTTTTTTGTTGATAGTGTGCTAAAGTATAACATTAAAATTTCTAATKTTTTTGAAGTGATATTCATWTTCAGTCTTCACATGAAAAACTTTAATGTAGTCTGGTTGTATTTTTAACATTAATATTGTTAAGACTAAAATTAATTTTTCAAATTCATAGAAAMAAAAATAAAGTATTGTGCCCCATCCTAAATACGCCACTGGTTTTATTTTAATATTATTTTCTTTTAAAATAATTAAAATCAATTAGCATTTTAGTTATGAAATTATTTTTTTGGTATTCTATTTTACAAGAAAATACATAAATATTTTTAAGATCATAATACAGTAGAATTGATAACTGGAATCTCGAGAGATAAAAATAAATTTGAGTCAACTAGACTCAACTGTATTTTAAAGTTAATTATTAATTGTTTTTAGGTATCAATATGAGATTTTCAAAGACCCTAAGATTATATTATTTAATAGTTTTAAGTATTAGTTTAGAATAAATACAATTTGGTATTCAGCTTTGATCAATAATAAGTATAAACTATAATTTTACATTTGTATCATAAATTGGAAACTATTCAAAATCTTTTGTWTTATGTTACTATCTATYTGTAGTCTTAAATATCATAATTTTAAACCTAAAATATTAATTAAACAAAAATACATTTTTTTAAAGGATATATAATGATTACATTTAGATTTTTTGTCATATCATTATGTAAAAATGTTCTTTTAATGTTTTAGACAACAACCACCACCAATGAAATCATGCTTATCGTGTCATCAACAAATACATCGTAATGCTCCAATTTGTCCATTATGCAAAGCCAAATCCAGGAGTCGCAATCCGAAAAAACCAAAGAAAAAAGATTAACTAGAAATGACTCAGAGTRACAAATCTGAATTAAAACTTTTAATCAGAATTCAAAGTATATGATAATTTAAATAAGTCTACTTTGCTGAAACTGAACTGGCTTTTACAAATAAGACATTTTAGAATTATGGAAATGTTTTATTTCTTTTTGTTATACTAAATAAGATCTTTTTTAGATGCTTACTTTATAACTTAAAATAGGCTGAAAATAT